CTCTAAGAGTAGGTGACCAAGGGAGGGGCTGTCTCCCTGGCCAGCAAGCTCTTTAAGATGTCAAAACTTCATAAGGTACAGAAAATAAAACACAAGCAACACAGCTCCACTGACTGTCCCTTGTTTCTGCCCGTGCCTCTCCCCTTTGACCCACCCTCTCTCTCCGCTCTGATGCTGCTCCACTCATCCCCGCCACCCCAGTTCCTCTCTGCCCATCCCCAGGCTCAGGAAGGTAGTGAACGTGGGGCCTTATCCTCCTATTGCCCAGAAATTCCGTGGTTACCACCTGAATATCTGGTCTCCCAAACTTTCCTATCAACACAGACATCAATACACAGTAGAGTCAGCAGCTCAGGTCTTCTTTCCAGGTTTACAGACACTTACCTCATACTGGTTGTTATAAAATATCCCAACATTTAATTATAAATAAAAGTTTTATTAAGTAATACAACAGAGAAATTGATTTTACTATTTAGTGTCTTGGGAGTTTCTAGAGCCAAATTATATCTGAGTCCTCTATTCCTCTTTCCTTAACCTGTTTCAAGCAAATTTTTTGTTTACTCACTGTTTTTTGAAGCTTAATGCAAATGAAGTAAAATATACAAAGCCAAAGAGTTCGATTAGGTGGATGTTTCTATATGTACACACTCTGCTTCCACCACCAAGCTCAACAAACAGACTCTTTCCACCTACCCCTGCTGGTCAGGTCAGGCTACAGGAAAGACAGAAGGGGCCTGAGCTGAGGTTGGGTGTATGAGACGTCGGTGAGCAGCTCAGCTGATGTGTCAAGAACTGAGGCAGCCTGGCACGTGAGGGGAAATGCACCTACGTGTGCACCTACATAGAGGACCAGGAGCACCAGACATGATGATGGTGGCAGACAGGCACAGTCAGAATATCTATGTGTGGTGTTCTTCCTGTCCCAATTATAAAATCTTTGCCTATTCCACTATCTGAAAGATCTTTCCAAATAAGGTCAAATTTATTAATTTTGTCTTTAAATGATCATATAGTACCATTTATTTTTTTGCACTACAGTTGAGTGGATTTTAAAAATATATAGATTTGCTTAATCAACGCCACCAAAATTAGAATGCAGAGTAATTCCATCACCCCAAATGTTCCCTCGTGCTAGTCCTTTTAGTTACACCTTCCAAACAACCTTAACCCTGGCAACCACTGATCTNGAAATATTAGTTGAATGAGGGGGTACTCAGTGCAGGCACTGTTTCCTATGCTTTTGACACGTATGAACTCCTTTAATCCTCATGCAACATTTCTGGTAGTGTCGTTATTTTTTTAGATGAGCACACTGAGGCACAGAGAGGCTAAATAACTTTGGTAAAGTGGAACAGGTGATAGGTCAGGTGGTAGGGCGGTGTCTGGGTTCCAACCCAGGCATGCCATGCCCTCAGCTTCCCTCAAATACCCAGCTCTCAGGCCTGCTCTGAGCATCAAAGCCAGGGCCAGACTCAGAGGCCGCCTGGGATGAGGACAGGAATGGGAATGTGGACCCAACTCCAAGGGGTCAGGAGGCCCCAGGGTCACTGGTGGGGACCACAGTCATGACCACCTGATGTATTTGTCTCTGAGAACTTACCTTCTCTCCAGACATAGTGGCAGGCCTCTGCCACTTGGACCCCTCAGCCTGGGGTCCTCTTAGTACTGCTCCCAGGACATGATAATGGATTTGGTCTTTGGTCTCCCTGAGGGCCCAGAGGCTGTCATCCCCAGGGAGCTGACCCCCAGGGAGCTGGCCAAGTTATGCAAGAGGGAAGGGCTGCAGCAGTGGGGCCTTATGATCCTAGACAAGCCTGTCACTATCTCACTAGTTCAGGGGATCCATCTGTGAAAGGGAGGTGGAAAGGGAGGAGACATATTTTTCAGCCTCCAGCTCACCCTGAAGGCAGGCTTGTGGAGTCTAAGTTCCCCTTGCAAGCATGGCCTCAGTCTCTCAGCCTGGGCTTCCTGCTGGGGCGTCCTCAGCCCCACCCACCACACTGTAGGCATTTCCTTCCCTACAGAGGGAACCGGACCCAGGCTCTGGTTGTCAAATGCAGACATGGTGCCCCTGCTGCTGCTGCCCCTGCTGTGGGGAGGTGAGTGGCCAAGGGTTGGGGGACCTGCACAGGTTGGGGAGGGTTTGGAGCTGCAGCTGAGGCTCTGTCCCCCCAGGTTCCCTGCAGGAGTCACCAGGATACGAGCTCAGATTGAAGGAAGACGTGACAGTACAGGAGGGTCAGTGTGTCCATGTGCCCTGCTCCTTCTCCTACCCCTGGAGTTCACGGTCTCCCCCGTTTGAACTCTACATGTACTGGTACCGGAGTCGGGACAACATACGCCAAAGTTACCCTGTGGCCACAAACAACCCGCGTGTACCAGTGAGGCCTGAGACCTCGGGCAGATTCCGCCTCCTTGAGGACCCGACGACCAACAGCTGTTCCCTGAACATCAGCAACGCCAGGATGAGCGACACAGGAAGCTACTTCTTCCGAGTGGAGAGAGGATATAGTGTGAAATATAATTACGGAGATAAGAAGCTGAATTTGCAGGTGACAGGTATGGCAGGGTCCAGAACAGGACATGGACATGGGACCCCCGTTTTAGGACAGGAACAGAAGACAGGAACACTCCCTGTCCAGGCCTAGGGGTGGGTGGTGGGAAGAGACACAGGACCTGGGGTGAGCTCAGGCCCTGAGGCATGGGTCCCTCTCAGGGTCACACTCTGGGTCCCCACCCCCT